CCGCCGCCCTGGGCAAGTGAGGAGCCCACTGGCCTGCTTTCTTAGTGGGATGAAGGCTTCTGGACACAGGGTTGCAGGCCTCACACACAGTGGTCTGGAGAAATCTGTTTGTACAAAATGTCTTTTTTTTAATAATAAGAAAGGAAGAGCTTGACAGAAAATAAAGGCTTTTTTCCCAAGAAGACCTGCAGTTGTGTTTTGTGAAAGTCTCCCTTGGTGTCTTCAGTTCCTCATCAGAATACACATGCCAGGGAATGGAGTTCAATAGAGCCAAAATCAAGATTTGGAAAGCTAAAATCAAGAATTGGAAGTGCTTTGCTTTGATTGTGCCACCTTTAACTTACAGTATTTTTCAATAAGAATTAATTACTTAGAGGGAGAATTACTTTTATACTTTATATAAGGTTACAAAGAGAAGAGAAAAGAAAGATATTGCTCAGGACAGAAAAAAATGTGTACAGGGTATTTCATGTGTCCAGAGGAGAGCGACTAAAATGATAAAAGGTCTGGAGAACAAGCCCTATGAGGAGCGGCTTAAGGGGCTGGGCATGTTTAGCCTGAAGAAGAGAAGGCTGAGAGGGGATATGATAGCCATGTATAAATATGTGAGAGGAAGCCACAGGGAGGAGGAGGGAGCAAGCTTGTTTCCTGCTTCCCTGGAGACTAGGACGCGGAACAATGGCTTCAAACTACAAGAGAGGAGATTCCATCTGAACATGAGGAAGAACTTCCTGACTGTGAGAGCCGTTCAGCAGTGGAACTCTCTGCCTTCCCTGGAGTGTGGTGGAGGCTCCTTCTTTGGAAGCTTTTAAACAGAGGCTGGATGGCCATCTGTCAGGGGTTATTTGAATGCGATGTTCCTGCTTCTTGGCAGAATGGGGTTGGACTGGATGGCCCATGAGGTCTCTTCCAACTCTTTGATTCTATGATTCTATGACCCACAAGTTCAAATGATAGGAAAGGAGATTCCATTTAACATCATGTGGTTTTCCTGCTTCTGGGTAGGGGGTTGGATTGTCTGAACGCATCTCTCCTTATGAACTTTCCAGGACTTTAAGATCGTCTGGGGAGGCGCTGCTCTCCATCCCGCCTTCGTCACAAGTATGGCTGGCAGGGACAAAAGGCAGGGCCTTCTCAGTGGTGGCCCCTCGGCTATGGAACACCCTCCCTAGGGATATCAGATTGGCCGCCTCCCCTTTAACATTCCAGAAAAAAAGTCAAGACGTGGCTTTTTGAGCAAGCGTTTGCAAACACAGTGTAACAGACATAGAAAAATCAACAACTAGACAATGTGATCAGATGTTTTTAACTAAGAGACTCAATGACTCATTCTTTTATTGATTTTGCTATAGTTTTATGTTATCTTGATGTTTTTAATTGCATTTTATGATTTCAGTCCTGACTTTAAACCGCCCCCAGTCACCTCCAGACTGAGAGGGATGGCATATAAATATAGTAAATAAATAAATAAAGGCTCACGAGGTTTCTTCCAACTCTACGATCCTATGATTAGGAAGAACTTCCTGACCATATGAGCTGTTTAGCACTGGAACTCTCTGCCATGGAGTGTGATGTAGTCTTCCTTGGCAGCTTTTAATCAAAGGCTGGATGGCCATCCATTGGTTAGGCGATCCCTCGTTGGACGAGTAGGATAGTCTTCCAGGAACAGAATTCTTGTGGGTCCGTGGGTGGCTGTGGAGCCCTCTTCTTGATCTGCATCTTCTTCTGCAGTGAGGGCATCTGTTTCCAGGTGGAAGGCAGTCCCAGTCAGAGTTTGCTTGACACGCTTTCCTCTTGGCACGTTTCTTTCGCCCTCCATTCGTGCCTTTTCAAATTCTGCAGCACTGCTTGTCACAGCTGACCTCCAAGGGCCAGGGCTTCCCAGTTCTCAGTGTCTATGCCAGAGTATTTAAGGTTGGCTTTGAGCCCATCTTTAAATCTCTTTTCCGGTCTTTTCCTGGCCATCCATTGGGGTGCTTTGATTGTGCTTTTATTTTTTTTAATTTAGGACCTCTATATCCTGTGCTATCTCGACCTCCGCAGAGGGACTCAGGACGGCTAATTTATTTATTTATTTGATGCACTTATTGACCGCCATTCTCAGCCCATGCGGGCGACTCATGGCGGTGTACAGTACACATAAAAGACAGTACAAAACCCGTATCAACAACATATAACTATACAACAATTACAGACTACATAAAAATCCGCTTCGTCTTTTAGTAGAAACATAGCCAGTCTCATCTTCCTTATACCATTCCAGTTCTCATTACCGTATTGTTTGTTGCTTAGCACTTAATTAAATGCCCTCTCGAACAACCAGGTCTTAAGGCCTTTCCGAAAGGACATGAGGGAGGGCGCCTGTCTGATGTGTGCCGGGAGAGTGTTCCACAGCCGGGGGGCCACCACCGAGAAGGCCCTCTCCCTCGTCCCCGCCAGCCGTGGCTAACAGCAACATAGATATACATAATAAGTTAAAAACAGTATAAAACATTATTAAAACATGTAAACAATCACCAGTTTAAGTAATTGTCTTAAGAACAGTGTCGGAACCCTCTTCTGCCACCCATACTAGCATTAGTAGCGTTTCCAACATACTCTACTACAACAAACAGTCCATCAGAGTCCATCAAAACCATAGCTTTGCCATCAAATCCATCTAGTTCACACAAAGACCTGATCCCACAGCCAGGATTTCACTTTTTTTCAGAAAGTGAGGAGGGATGGACTGGATCTGATTTCAATGGATTGTCAAAGGCTTTCATGGCCAGAATCACTGGGTTGTTGTAGGTTTTTTCGGGCTATGGCCATGTTCTAGAGGCATTTTCTCCTGACGTTTTGCCTGCATCTATGGCAAGCATCCTCAGAGGTAGTGAGGTAAATCCAGACAAGACAGAGGTACTCCTGGTCAGTCGCAAGGCCGAACAGGGTATAGGGTTACAGCCTGTGCTGGACGGGGTCGCACTCCCCTTGAAGGCGCAGGTTCGCAGCTTGGGTGTGACCCTGGATTCATCTTTGAGCCTGGATCCCCAGGTTTCAGGGGTGACCAGGGGAGCATTTGCACAGCTTCGGCTCGTGCGCCAGCTGCGCCCGTATCTTGGGAAGTCTGACTTGGCCACGGTGGTACACGCTCTGGTCACATCCCGCCTTGACTACTGCAACGCTCTCTACGTGGGGCTGCCCTTGAAGACGGCCCGGAAGCTTCAGCTAGTCCAGCGCGCGGCAGCCATGTTACTAACGGGAGCGGGACGCAGGGAGCATACAACGCCCTTGTTGGCCCAGCTCCACTGGCTGCCGATTTGCTACCGGGCCCAATTCAAGGTGCTGGTGTTATCCTACAAAGCCCTAAACGGTTCCGGCCCAAAATACCTTTCAGACCGCATCTCGGCCTATGAGCCCACGAGGGCCTTGAGATCATCTGGGGAGGCCCTTCTCTCGATCCCGCCCGCCTCACAGGCACGCCTGGCGGGGACGAGAGAGAGGGCCTTCTCAGTGGTGGCCCCCCGGCTGTGGAACGCCCTCCCTGTTGACATCAGACAGGCGCCCTCCCTCATGGCTTTTCGTAAGAGCCTAAAGACCTGGCTATTCGAGAAGGCATTTAATTGAGAGCCACACGAATCTGGCAATGACACTTGGAACGGACTACGGATTATGAGATTGGCTATTGATTCTATGTGTGATGGCGCGGATTTTTTAGTGTGATTAGATTAATGTGTAATTTGATTGTTGATATATTGTATGTTTTGTAGACTGTTTTTTACATGTTGTGCACCGCCGCGAGTCGCCCCAGGGCTGAGAGCGGCGGTCAACAAATGAAGTAAATAAATAAATAAATAATAGTGAGGTCCGTTGGAAGTAGGAAAATGGGTAATATATATCTGTGGAATGACCAGGGTGGGACAAAGGACGCTTGTCTGTTGGAGCTGGATGGCCATCTGTCAATAGTGCCTTGATTGTGCTCTTCCCGTATGCAGAATGGAGTTGGACTGGATGGCCTTGAGAGGTCCCTTCCAACTCTGGTTATGTGAATGGAAGCACTGCCCAACAGGCCTTTGATACAAATGGAGCGGCCTTTGAGTGGTGCCAAACCGCATTAACTCTACAGTGCAGATGCCCCATATGTCAGTTTTCCTTGCGAGAAGGGATGATGCAAAGTGGGGCGGGAAGGGGAGGCTTGGGTGCATCTACACTCCAGGATTACCTCAGTTTGACTCCATTTTAAGTGCCAGGACTCAGTACTTTGATTGAGGCACCCAGGCTGAAGCCACACTACATTCCTTCTCCACTCTGTACATGCCCAGAGGCCTCTCAGGTAGGTTGTGCCAATCCACCCTTCGAGGAGGCTTTGGAACCAGCAGGCCTCACTTCCCTAAACAAACTCCGGGAGGAGATAGAGCCGACTTCCGGTTTCTGTAGACGGGACTTCCGGAAAGGCGTCGCTTCCGGTGTGGAGCGGAAGTGGGTTCTCTGTGGCCATGGGGCTGCTCTCGGACCCGTACCGGCGGCGGGCCCTCTCCCGCCTCGTCCTCCGCCTCAACGCCCCGCTCTGGTGGGTCCCCGCGAGGGCATCAGGCCCGTTCTCCACGAGGGTGCTTCCACACTGCGGGTTAACGCGGTTTGGCACCACTTTGGGGGACTCAGGGCCTTCTCTGAGTATTCTGAGAGGCATGGAAGGGCCAGTTCCATTGCAGTACATCTACACTGCGGGTTTAATGCGCCCTGGCTCAATACCAGGCAGTCAGAGTAGGGTGTCCTGCTGATACTTGGAGAGCTCATGCTCCCAGGAACTGTGGAACTCCCTGCTGCGGTCAGATCAGTCAGAAGGCAGGGGTCTCTGTGATCGGCTGCGGGATTAATACGCTTTGACACCCCTTGATGGCCCTGGCTCAATACCAGGCAGTCAGAGTAGGGTGTCCTGCTGATACTTGGAGAGCTCATGCTCCCAGGAACTGTGGAACTCCCTGCTGCGGTCAGATCAGTTAGAAGGCAGGGGTCTCTGTGATCGGCTGCGGGATTAATGTGCTTTGACACCCCTTGATGGCCCTGGCTCAATACCAAGCAGTCAGAGTAGAGTGTCCTGCTCATGCTCCCAGGAACTGTGGAACTCCCTGCTGCGGTCAGATCAGTTAGAAGGCAGGGGTCTCTGTGATAGGCTGTGGGATTAATACTCTTTGACACCCCTTGATGGCCCTGGCTCAATACCAGGCAGTCAGAGTAGGGTGTCCTGCTGATACTTGGAGAGCTCATGCTCCCAGGAACTGTGGAACTCCCTGCTGCGGTCAGATCAGTTTGAAGGCAGGGATCTCTGTGATCGGCTGCGGGATTAATACGCTTTGACACCCCTTGATGGCCCTGGCTCAATACCAAGCAGTCAGAGTAGAGTGTCCTGCTGATACTTGGAGAGCTCATGCTCCCAGGAACTGTGGAACTCCCTGCTGCGGTCAGATCAGTTAGAAGGCAGGGGTCTCTGTGATCGGCTGCGGGATTAATGTGCTTTGACACCCCTTGATGGCCCTGGCTCAATACCAGGCAGTCAGAGTAGAGTGTCCTGCTCATGCTCCCAGGAACTGTGGAACCCCCTGCCACGGTCAGATCAGTTTGAAGGCAGGGGTCTCTGTGATCGGCTGCGGGATTAATGTGCTTTGACACCACTTGATGGCCCTGGCTCAATACCAGGCAGTCAGAGTAGGGTGTCCTGCTGATACTTGGAGAGCTCATGCTCCCAGGAACTGTGGAACTCCCTGCTGCGGTCAGATCAGTTAGAAGGCAGGGGTCTCTGTGATCGGCTGCGGGATTAATGTGCTTTGACACCCCTTGATGGCCCTGGCTCAATACCAAGCAGTCAGAGTAGAGTGTGCTGATACTTGGAGAGCTCATGCTCCCAGGAACTGTGGAACTCCCTGCTGCGGTCAGATCAGTCAGAAGGCAGGGGTCTCTGTGATAGGCTGCGGGATTAATACGCTTTGACACCACTTGATGGCCCTGGCTCAATACCAAGCAGTCAGAGTAGAGTGTCCTGCTCATGCTCCCAGGAACTGTGGAACTCCCTGCTGCGGTCAGATCAGTCAGAAGGCAGGGGTCTCTGTGATCGGCTGCGGGATTAATGTGCTTTGACACCCCTTGATGGCCCTGGCTCAATACCAAGCAGTCAGAGTAGAGTGTCCTGCTCATGCTCCCAGGAACTGTGGAACTCCCTGCTGCGGTCAGATCAGTTAGAAGGCAGGGGTCTCTGTGATAGGCTGTGGGATTAATACGCTTTGACACCCCTTGATGGCCCTGGCTCAATACCAAGCAGTCAGAGTAGGGTGTCCTGCTGATACTTGGAGAGCTCATGCTCCCAGGAACTGTGGAACTCCCTGCTGCGGTCAGATCAGTTAGAAGGCAGGGGTCTCTGTGATCGGCTGCGGGATTAATGTGCTTTGACACCACTTGATGGCCCTGGCTCAATACCAGGCAGTCAGAGTAGGGTGTCCTGCTGATACTTGGAGAGCTCATGCTCCCAGGAACTGTGGAACTCCCTGCTGCGGTCAGATCAGTTAGAAGGCAGGGGTCTCTGTGATCGGCTGCGGGATTAATGTGCTTTGACACCCCTTGATGGCCCTGGCTCAATACCAAGCAGTCAGAGTAGAGTGTCCTGCTCATGCTCCCAGGAACTGTGGAACCCCCTGCCACGGTCAGATCAGTTTGAAGGCAGGGGTCTCTGTGATCGGCTGCGGGATTAATGTGCTTTGACACCACTTGATGGCCCTGGCTCAATACCAGGCAGTCAGAGTAGGGTGTCCTGCTGATACTTGGAGAGCTCATGCTCCCAGGAACTGTGGAACTCCCTGCTGCGGTCAGATCAGTTAGAAGGCAGGGGTCTCTGTGATCGGCTGCGGGATTAATGTGCTTTGACACCCCTTGATGGCCCTGGCTCAATACCAAGCAGTCAGAGTAGAGTGTCCTGCTCATGCTCCCAGGAACTGTGGAACCCCCTGCCACGGTCAGATCAGTTTGAAGGCAGGGGTCTCTGTGATCGGCTGCGGGATTAATGTGCTTTGACACCACTTGATGGCCCTGGCTCAATACCAGGCAGTCAGAGTAGGGTGTCCTGCTGATACTTGGAGAGCTCATGCTCCCAGGAACTGTGGAACTCCCTGCTGCGGTCAGATCAGTTAGAAGGCAGGGGTCTCTGTGATCGGCTGCGGGATTAATGTGCTTTGACACCCCTTGATGGCCCTGGCTCAATACCAAGCAGTCAGAGTAGAGTGTCCTGCTCATGCTCCCAGGAACTGTGGAATTCCCTGCTGCGGTCAGATCAGTTAGAAGGCAGGGGTCTCTGTGATCGGCTGCGGGATTAATGTGCTTTGACACCCCTTGATGGCCCTGGCTCAATACCAAGCAGTCAGAGTAGAGTGTCCTGCTCATGCTCCCAGGAACTGTGGAACTCCCTGCTGCGGTCAGATCAGTTAGAAGGCAGGGGTCTCTGTGATCGGCTGCGGGATTAATGTGCTTTGACACCCCTTGATGGCCCTGGCTCAATACCAAGCAGTCAGAGTAGAGTGTCCTGCTCATGCTCCCAGGAACTGTGGAATTCCCTGCTGCGGTCAGATCAGTTAGAAGGCAGGGGTCTCTGTGATCGGCTGCGGGATTAATGTGCTTTGACACCACTTGATGGCCCTGGCTCAATACCAGGCAGTCAGAGTAGGGTGTCCTGCTGATACTTGGAGAGCTCATGCTCCCAGGAACTGTGGAACTCCCTGCCGCGGTCAGATCAGTTTGAAGGCAGGGATCTCTGTGTTCGGCGTCAGGGCCAGGCTGCATTCAGTCTGCTTTGTTTATACAGGCAGATCCCCGAGTTACGAACAAGGGAGGTTCTCTGTAGGTTTGTTTTTAAGTTAAATGTGTATGTATGTTGGAACAAGGACATTTTTAAAGTGTAATTACACACACACACACATACACACCCATGTTGTTGTTGTTCATTCGTTCAGTCGTCTCCGACTCTTCGTGACCTCATGGACCAGCCTACGCCAGAGCTCCCTGTCGGCCGTTACCACCCCCAGCTCCCTCAAGGTCAGTCCAGTCACTTCAAGGATGCCATCCATCCATCTTGCCCTTGGTCGGCCCCTCTTCCTTTTGCCTTCCACTTTCCCCAGCATAATTGTCTTCTCTAGGCTTTCCTGTCTCCTCATGATGTGGCCAAAGTACTTCAACTTTGTCTCTAGTATCTTGCCCTCCAGTGAGCAGTCGGGCTTTATTTCCTGGAGGATGGACTGGTTGGATCTTCTCGCAGTCCAAGGCACTCTCAGCACTTTCCTCCAACACCACAGTCAAAAGCATCGATCTTCCTTCGCTCAGCCTTCCCTAAGGTCCAGCTCTCACATCCGTAGGTGACTACAGGGAAGACCATGGCTTTGACTAGGCAATGGATCTTTGTTGCCAGTCTGATGTCTCTACTCTTCACTATTTGATTGAGACTGGACATTGCTCTCCTCCCAAGAAGGAAGCGTCTTCTGATTTCCTGGCCACAGTCTGCATCTGCAGTAATCTTTGCACCTAGAAATACAAAGTCTGTCACGGCCTCCACGGTTTCTCCCTCTATTTTCCAGTTGTCAATCATTCTTGTTGCCATAATCTTGGTTTTTTTTTTTTTTTTTTTTTTTTTTTCTTTTTTGTGGCTTTTTTATTTTTGTTTTTTTTTTTTTTTTTTTTTTTTTTTTTTTTTTTTTTTTGTAAGTACTTCAACTTTGTCTCTAGTATCCTTCCCTCCAGTGAGCAGCTGGGCTTTATTTCCACATTTTCTCCCTCTATTTTCCAGTTGTCAATCATTCTTGTTGCCATAATCTTGGTTTTTTTGATGTTTAGCTGAAACCCGGCTTTTGCGCTTTCTTCTTTCACCTTGATTAGAAGGCTCCTCAGCTCCTCCTCGCTTTCGGCCATCAGAGTGGTGTCATCTGCATATCTGAGGTTGTTAATGTTTCTTCCAGCAATTTTCACCCCAGCCTTGCATTCATCCAGCCCCGCACATCCTCGCATGATGTGTTCTGCATACAAGTTAAAAAGGTTGGGTGAGAGGATGCAGCCTTGCCGTACGCCTTTCCCAATCTTGAACCAGTCTGTTGTTCCGTGGTCAGTTCTGACTGTTGCTACTTGGTCCTTGTACAGATTCCTCAGGAGAGAGACAAGGTGGCTTGGGATGCCCATCCCACTAAGAACTTGCCACAATTTATTATGATCCACACAGTCAAAGGCTTTAGAATAGTCAATAAAACAGAAATAGATGTTTTTCTGAAACTCCCTGCCTTTCTCCATTATCCAGCGGATATTGGCAATTTGGTCTCTTGTTCCTCTGCCTTTTCTAAACCCAGCTTGAACATCTGGCAACTCTCGCTCCATGTATTGCTGGAGTCTTCCTTGCAGGATCTTGAGCATTACCTTACTGGCATGAGAAATAAGGGCCACTGTACGGAAGTTTGAGCAGTCTTTCGCATTTCCCTTTTTTGGTATGGGGATAAAAGTTGATTTTTTCCAGTCTGATGGCCATTCTTGTGTTTTCCATATTTGCTGGCATATGGCATGCATCACCTTGACAGCATCATCTTTTAAGATTTTAAACAGTTCAGCTGGGATCCCGTCCTCCTGCTGCCTTGTTGTTAGCAATGCTTCTTAAGGCCCATTCAACCTCACTCCTCAGGATGTCTGGTTCTAATTCATTCACCACACCGTCATAACTATCCTCAATATTATTACCCTTCCTATACAGATCTTCTGTATAGTCTCGCCACCTTCTCTTGATCTCTTCAGCTTCTGTTAGGTCCCTGCCATCTTTGTTTCTTATCATACCAATTTTTGCCTGAAATTTACCTCCAATGTTTCTAATTTTCTGGAAGAGGTCTCTTGTCCTTCCTATTCTGTTGTCTTCCTCCACTTCCATGCATTCCTTATTTAAAAATAGGCCAGTTCTATTGCAGTCCATCCACACTGTGGGATTAATGCACTTTGGGGCCTCACACTGCATTCAGTCTGCTTTGTTTATACAGGCAGAGTTATGAACAAGGGAGGTTCTCTGTAAGTTTGTTCTTCATTTGAGTGTGTATGTATTTTGAAACATGGATATTTTTAAATTGTAATTACAGCCATATATATAAGCCGTCCCCTGCCACGTGTTGCTGTGGCCCAGTCTGGAAAATAAAGTAATGAGAAAGTGTTGGTTTCTAATCTATGTAATTCCTTTCTGCTTGTGGGTAAACAGTATTTCTTGCTGTTTCTTTGTCAGTGTTGACGTAGGGATTGTCTGGTTTGCCTATTTTGGAACATGCAACATATCATTGTCCTTCTTTAGGAGTCCCTTTCAAATCTAGGATACTATATCTCTCTGTGTGTGAATCATATCTCTCTATCTAGATCTATGGCTGGATGGCTCTTTGTCAGGAGGGCTTTGGTTATGTTTTCTTGCCCTGGTGAAGGGAGTTGGACTGGATGGCCTTAAGTATTTTCTGTTGATCATGGGATTTCTGAGTGCCAGGTTTGGTTCAATTCCATCATTGGTGGAGTTCAGCATGCTCTTTGATTGTAGGTGAACTATAAAGCCCAGTAAGTATAACTCCCAAATGTCAATGTCTATTTCCCCCGAACTCCATCTGTGTTCATATTTGGGCATATGGAATATTCGTGCCAAGTTTTGCCCAGATCCATCATTGTTTGAGCGTCTGGGTGTAGGTAAACTATAACTCCCAAACTCAAGGTCAATGCCCACCAAACCCTTCTACTGTTTTCTGTTGATCTTGGAAGTCCTGTGTGGAAAGTTTGGTTCCATTCCATGTTATGAACCCAAAGAGGGTTCCTGTTCTTTTGTGCAGAGTGTATAAGAAATAGTAAGGTAGCTTAGATCAATGAGACACTTTAGAGACCAAATTTGGTTTTGCCACTATTCATGTAACATTTATTGAAATACCATCATCACAGAATCATATCAGAATCACATCAAGGAGAGCTCTCTTGCACACACACACTCATTCATACTCACACACACAGGCCTCTTCCGGCGAAGGTGATCAGTCTTTCCGAAGAGGGATGGACGCTCCCGTTGCCGCGGATCGGGAGGCGTGCAGATTGTCAGGGGTCCCCTACATTTATAGGCCAAAATCCATTTTTCTTCATCTCAACAGTCAAGTTGTCCCGTTCTCTTTCAAGTCCTCCCAAATCTTTGTTCTCTCCAAAGTTCAGGACATTCGGATTCCAGGCCTCATGATTTATGGGGTACCTCCTGTATGCATCGTGCACTCCTTACATGCTCGGTCGCACATCTTATTGTCCATTGTCATCCAGTTATGCCTTGCTGCGTCCTCGCTTCAGCTGCCAAGGCCGTCCCACATAATGCTTTGCGGGGACTCCATGTTGTTCAGGCCTGTTTCTTCTGCTCTTCTGCATGCATACAGACATTCATTCTTTACATCCATTGTTAGTGGAGTTCAGAATGGTCTTTGATTTTAAGTGCTCTTTGATTTTCTACTGTTGGGAAAATTGATGTCTTGTTACATAGGGGGAAAAGGGTGGCATTCTGGGGCAGATGTCTCTGATTTCCGCCCAACACTCTCCTTTTCTCTCCTTCTTTCTTCTTTTGCAGCATCGTGAGCTTCCTGCTGGGCCTGGGCTGGTTCCTGGGCCTGGCCTTCCACCCGTTCACGCTGCGCATCTACATGTCGGAGAATGCCATGGGCTCCACAATGGTGGAAGAGCACTTCGTCCACGGCGAACGCGCCCTCTCCTACGCCCGGGAGTTCGCTGGACACAAGAAGAAGGCGGGGGAGGAAGGAGGGAAAGGAAGGAAGGGGAGGGAAGGAAGGAAGGAGGGAGGGAGGAAGGGGGAGGGAGGGAGGGAGGGAGGGAGGGAGGAGGGAGGGAGGGAGGAAGGAAGGAAGGAAGGAAGGAGGAAGGAAGGAAGGAAGGAAGGGGAGGGGGAGGGAGGGAGGAGGGAGGGAGGGAGAGGGAAGGAAAGGAAAGGAAGGAAGGAAGGAAGGAAGGAAGGAAGGAAGGAAGGAAGGAAGGGAGGGAGGGATGGGAGGGAGGGAGGGAGGGAGGGAGGGAGGGAAGAAGGAAGGAGGAGGAGGAAAGGAAGGAAGAAGAAGGAAGGAAGGAAGGAAGGAAGGAAGGAAGGAAGGGAAGGAAGAAAGAAGGAAGGGGAAAGGAAAGGAAGGTTGGAAGGAAGGAAGGAGAAAAAAAAAATAAAAAGGAAAAAGAGGAAAAAAAGAGAAAAAAAAAAAAAAAAAAAAAAGAAAAAAAAAAAAAAAAAAAAAAAAAAAAAAAAAAAAAAAAAAAAAGGGAAAAAGAAAAAAAAAGAAAAGAAAAAAAGAAGAAGAAAAAAGTATAAACACAGTAAAAAGGTAAAAAAAGAAAAAATAAGAAAAAAGGAAAGAAAAAAAGAAAAAAAAAAGAAAAAAAGAGAAAGAAAAAAAGAAAAGGGAAAGGAAGAAAAGGGAAGGGAAGGGAAGGGAGGGAGGAAGGGAAAGGAAGGAAGGAAGGAAGAAAGAAAGAAGGAAGGGAGGGAGGGAGGGAGGGAGGGAGGGAAGGAGGGAAGGAAGGAAGAGGAAGGAAGGAAAGGAAGGAAGGAAGGAAGGAAGGAAGGAAGAGAAGAAGGAGGGAGGAGAAGGAAGGGAGGAAGGAAAGGAAGGAAGGGAAGGAAGGAGAAGGGAAAGGGGGGAGGGAGGGAGGGAGGGAGGGAGGGAGGGAGGAAGGAAGGAAGGAAGGAAGGAAGGGAGGGAGGGAGGAGAGGGAGGGAGGGAAGGAAGGGAGGGAGGGAAGGGAAGGAAGGAAGGGAAGGAGGAAGAAGGAAGGAAGGAAGGAAGGAAGGAAGGAAGGGAGGGAGGGAGGGCAGGGAGGGAGGGAGGGAGGGAGGGAAGGGAAGGGAAGGGAAGGGAAGGGAAGGGAAGGGAAGGGAAGGGAAGGGAAGGAAGGAAGGAAGGAAGGACGGAAGGAAGGAAAGAAGGAAAGAAGGAAAGAAAGAAAGAAAGAAAGAAAGAAAGGAAAGAAAGATTCTTATTGTCGAAGGCTTTCATGGCCGGAATCACTGGGTTGCTGTGAGTTTTTTGTTCCAGCAGCATTCTCCACAAGTATTGCAGTTAGTTAAACCTTTGTGCTGCTGACCTGAAGGTTGACAGTTCAAATCTGCAGGACAGGGTGAGCTCCGGCTGTTAGCCCTAGTTCCTGATGTTCCAGCAGCATGGGTTGTGGGAGATGCAATGGGTTAAGCCCTTGTGCTGCTGAACTGCTAACCTGAAGGTTGGCAGTTTGAATCTGCAGGACAGGGTGAGCTCTTCCTGTTAGTCCTAGCTCCTGCCAACCTAGCAGTTTGAAAACAAAAGGCAAAAGGATTCTTCAAGCAGCTATGCAGGCCGCACGACCAGGAGGTGTCTAAGGATGCAGGATCCTCGGCTTGGAAGTGGAGAAAGAGTCGGAAATGAAAGGAGAAGCCTTTGCCTTTGTCTGTGTATTTGTCTCTCACTGTATTTCATTATAACAAAGCATTGAATGTTTGCCTGTGTGTGTTTATATGCTGTAATCTGCTCTGATTACAGGGCGGAATATAAATAAGGTGTCATAATAATAATAATAATAATTTTATTTATTTATTTATTTAACTTGTATACCGCTACTCCCAGTTTGGCTCGGAGCAGTTTACAGAACAGATTAAAACAATACAATTTGCTGTAAAAATAACCATAACAATAACAATAGGCAACGAGAACAGGCATAACATAATAACAATAGGCAGTATATAGTAACAATAGGCAATAACAATAGGCAGTGAGAACAGGCATAATAATAATAATAATAATAATAATAATAATAATAATAGTAATGTGTCATTAATATAATAAATAAATAAGGCAGAAGGCCACCTTACTGGGATCTGCACGCCTTATTCGCCAATACATCACAAATTCCTAGACACATGGGAAGTGTCCAATGTGTGATCCAATTCAACAGCCAGCAGAGTGTCTGCTGTGGACTCATCTTGTTGTGTTTCAAATAATAATAATAATATCTTGAGGCAAGTATTCCAAGAGGTTTATTCAGCAGTCTGTTGGAAATGAGGCAAGTGGAGTGTAGATATATCTGGACATTCCACAGATGTGTGTGTATATATATCTATATATATAAATTTCCTCCTGGCGTCGTATGAGGAAACAAAACTCAAAAACCCCCCAACGAAACTTCACCAAACTTCCCATGCCCCAAGGGCAACCAACAAGGTACAAACTAATCCACTCAGAAATCAAAAACACACAACAACAACCACAATAAACGGCAAAGCAACTGAGCATGCGCACTGGCGCAAACTCCCTGGCGCGCGCACACACATGGCCCCTCACCCCCCCCCCCCGGCGCGGCACACACACGCGCGCGCGCACGGCCCCTCCCCCCCCGGCGCGGCACACACACACACACGCGTGCCCCCTCTCCCACCCGGCGCGGCACACACGCGCGCGCACCCCCAACCCCCCCCCGGCGCGGCACACACGCGCGCGTACGCGCCCCCTCTCCCCCCTCTGGCGCGGCACACACACACATGCACACACTCGCGCGCACGCGCCCCCTCACCCCCCGGCACGGCACACACGCACACATGCGCGCGCGTGCCCCCTCACACACCCCGGCGCGGCACACGCGCGCGCGCGCGCCCCCTCTCCCCCCTCCGGTGCGGCACACGCACGCACGCGCGCCCGCGCGCCCCCTCACTCCCCTGGCGCGGCACACACGCGCGCGTGTGCGCCCCCTCTCCCCCCCGCGCGGCACACGTTACCTCCAAGCCACGCCCCCTTCTAAACCCACCCCCCCTCCCCTCCTCCCTCCTCACGTTACCTCCAAGCCACACCCCCTTCTAAACCCATCCCCCTCCCTCTACCCTCCTCACGTTACCTCCAAGCCACGCCCCCTTCTAATCTGTCAAGGAAGAATCATAGAATCATAGAATCAAAGAGTTGGAAGAGACCTCATGGGCCATCCAGTCCAACCCCATTCTGCCAAGAAGCAGGAATATTGCATTCAAATCACCCCTGACAGGAGAGAAAGAGGGAGGGAAAGAAGAAGGAAGGAAGGAATGAGGTAGAAAAGGAAGAAAGGGAGAGAAAGAGGGAGGGAAAGATAAAGGGGGAAGGAAAATCAGAGAAGGAAGGAAAGAAAAAAAAGGGAAAGAAGGAAGGAAAGAGGGAGCGAAGGAAGGGGGGAAGATGTAGAGAAAGAGAGAGGGAAGGAAAGATAGAAGGAAGAAAAGAGAGACAGAAGAGAAAAAGGAAGAAGGAAGGAAAGAGGGAGCGAAGGAAGGGGATAAAATGTAGAGAAAGAGGGAGGGAAAGAAAGGAGGAAAGAGAGAAGGAAGAAAAGAGACACAGCAGAAGAGAAAGAAAAAGGGGGAAGGAAGGAAAGCGATAGAGAAGGAAGGAAGGAGAGAAGGAAAGACGGGAAGGAAGGAAGGAAACAGGGAGTGAAGGAAGGAGGGAAAGAAGGGGAGATAGGGGGAAGGTTGGCCACAGCAACGCGTGGCGGGTACAGCTAGTATATATACACACACACACACACACACACACATATATATACACACACTCCACTTGCCTTATGTCCAACAGACCTCTAAACAAGCCTCTGAGGATGCCAGCCACAGATGCAGGTGGAACATCAGGAGAGAATGCTACTGGAACATGGCCAGACAGCCCGGAAAGTTCACAGTAACCCAAAATCTTCTCCAAGGTGAACAGCAACAATCCTGGTGCCAAACTAGGTCCCCTTCTACACTGCCATATAATCCAGATTATCAAAGCAGATAATGTGCGTTATCTGCTTTGAACTGGATTATATGAGTCTATACTGCGATCTAATCCAATTCAGTAATCTGGATATGAAATGGCAGTGTAGAGGGGACCTAGGATTGGATGGCCTTTGGAGGCCTTTCCCAAGTGTAGGATCTTGTGAGGAAACTCCCCCCCCCCCCCCCCCGCCAAACTCATCCTGTGTTGTCCTTGCTGTCCTCCTGGCCTTCAGAGGGATGCCGGTGGCCTGGCTGGAGAAGACCATGTGGAACCTGGGCCTGGAGGTGTACAAGCAGACCTTCTCCCGGACGCTGCCCTTCCCGGACGAGCTGCGAGAGAGATACGTACGTGGACCGCTTTGGCAGGGGAGGGGGGCACGAGCCGTGGGAGACGGTTCCCCCTCCGACACCCTTTCTCTCTCTCTTCTTCTTCTTCTTCTTTGCAGATGGTGAAGGGGACCAACGTGTACGGGATCCTGAGGGCCCCCCGAGGGGCCAGTACGGAGTCCCTGGTGCTGAGCGTCCCCTGCAGCCCCGGGCAACAGAACAACCAGGCCGTGGGGCTCATGCTGGCCTTGGCCTCCTACTTCCGAGGTGCTTTTGCTCATCTTGGGGCCTTTGGGTCAAAATGATGAGTTGAAGGCCTATCGTCTCCGAAATAAAAAGCTTGTTTCTTATAGGTTTTTTCGGGCTATAGGGCTATGTTCTAGAGGCATTTCTCCTGACGTTTCACCTGCATCTATGGCAAGCATCCTCAGAGGTAGTGAGGTCTGTTTGGTAACTGGGAAAGGGGTTTATATATCTGTGGAATGGCTGGGGTGGGGCAAAGAGCTCTTCCCTGCTGGAGCTATTTATTTATTTATTTATTTATTTACTTCATTTGTTGACCGCCGCTCTCAGCCCTAGGGCGACTCGCGGCGGTGTACAACATATAAAAACAGTCTACAAAACACACAATATATCAACAACACCATATTACACCTTACTATAAATCACCCTAACAAATCCGCACCGTCACAGCATAGAATCATAGCCAGTCTCATAATCCGTAATCCGTTCCAGTTGTCATTACCAGGTTCGTGTAGTTCTCAATTAAATGCCTTCTCGAATAGCCAGGTCTTTAGGCTCTTACGGAAAGCCATAAGAGAGGGCGCCTGTCTGATGTCAACAGGGAGGGCGTTCCACAGCCGGGGGGCCACCACTGAGAAGGCCCTCTCTCTCGTCCCCGCCAAGCGTGCCTGAGAGGCAGGCGGGATCGAGAGAAGGGCCTCCCCAGACGATCTCAAGGCCCTCGTGGGCTCATAGGCCGAGATGCGGTCTGAAAGGTATTTTGGGCCGGAACCGTTTAGGGCTTTGTAGGATAACACCAGCACCTTAAATTGGGCCCGGTAGCAGATCAGCAGCCAGTGAAGCTGGGATAGCAAGGGCGTTGTATGCTCCCTGCGTCCCGCTCCCATTAGCATCATGGCTGCCGCGCGCTGAACTAGCTGAAGCTTCCGGGCCGTCTTCAAGGGCTAGGTGTGAATGTTTCAGCTGACCACCTTCATTAGCATTTGAAGGCCTGGCTGAGCCTGGGAAAATGTTCTGTTGAGGGGTGTTAAGATGTGCCTGGTTGTTTCCTCTCTGCTGTTTTGCTGTTGTAATTTTAGAGTTTTTTTTAATACTGGTAGCCAGATTGTGTTCATTTTCATGGTCTCCTCCTTTCTGTTGCCCCACCCCAGCCATTCCACAGATATATAAACCCATTGTCCTAATTCCAACAGACCTCACTACCTCTGAGGATGCTTGCCATAGATGCAGGCGAAACGTCAGGAGAGAATGCCTCTAGAACATGGCCCTATAGCCCGAAAAAACCTACAAGAACCGAGTGATTCCAGCCATGAAAGCCTTCGACAATAAAAAGCTTGTTTTGAGATATTGTAGCTTACTGAGATGTGTGCTGTGTGGAGAATATCTGGATGCAACCCAACTGCCCTTTTGTTCCAACATCAATAATAATAATAATAACAACAACAACAACAATAAAACTTCATTTGTGCCCCGGTACCATCTCCCCCAGGGACTCAGTGCAGCTTACATGAGGCCGAGCCCACAATACAACAATAAACAATAACAACAGTATATTGTTATGAATGCATAACAGAATCATAGAATCATAGAATGTATTGTCGAAGGCTTTCATGGCCGGAATCACTGGGTTCTTGTAGGTTTTTTCGGGCTATATGGCCATGTTCTAGAGGCATTTCTCCTGACGTTTCGCCTGCATCTATGGCAAGCATCCTCAGAGGTAGTGAGGATGCTTGCCATAGATGCAGGTGAAACGTCAGGAGAAATGCCTCTAGAACAGGGGTTCTCAATGTTCCTAATGCTGCGACCCCTTAATACAGTTCCTCATGTTGTGGTGACTCCCAACCATTACATTATTTTCATTGCTACTTCATAATTGTAATTTTGCTACTGTTATGAATCGTTATGTAAATATCTGATATGCAGGATGTATTCTCATTCACTGGACCAAATTTGGCACAAATACCCAATATGCCCAAATTTGAATACTGGTGGGGTTGGGATGGGAGGATTGATTTTGTCATTTGGGAGTTGTAGTTGCTGGGATTTATAGTTCACCTACATTCAAAGAGCATTCTGAACTCTACCAACGATGGAATTGGACCAAAGTTGGCACACAGAACTCCCATGACCAACGGAAAATACTGGAAGGGTTTGGTGGGCATTGAGTTTTGGAGTTGTAGTTTGCTTACATCCAGAGAGCACTGTGGACTCAAACAATGATGGATCTGGATCAAACTTGGCACGAATATTCAATATGCCCAAATGTGAACACTGGTGAAGTTCGGGGAAAATAGACCTTGACATTTGGGAGTTGTAGTTGCTGGGATTTATAGTTCACCTACAATCAAAGAGCATTCTGAACCCCACCAATGATAGAATTGGGCCAAACTTCCCACACAGGAACCCCCATGACCAACAGAAAATACTGTCTGTGATGGTCTTTGGCGACCCCCCTGACACCCTCTCGTGACCCCTCCAGGGGTCCTGACCCCCAGGTTGAGAACCACTGCTCTAGAACATGGCCATATAGCCCGAAAAAACCCACAAGAACTGAATAAATAAATTCATAAGCAGAAAATAAGCAATAAACATTAACAATAACACGACGCATTTAAAAACCCATGGCTGGGCCAAATGTAATAATTAAATTTTAAAAATAATGCTGGGCATGACAAGATGACATATAACTAGGGTAAAGGTTTTGGAAAGAGATGAGATGTGCAGACAAACCTAGATCGCTAATAAAGAGCGTTTGGGGACATATTCCTGGGAGTTTCTTATTCTGGAAAGGCACACTGAAACAACCACGTTTTCAGGCTCCTCCTAAAGACTGCCAGAGTCGGAGCATGCAATAAACAACAACATCATAATTACATAAAACATATGAATGCATAACGATATAAAATTACAGTAAACAAAATCACAGTGACAATATTTATTTATTTATTATTTATTTATTTATTTATTTATTTAATACACTTGTATACCGCTAATATCTCAGCCTGGATCGGCGACTCATTGCGGTTTACAACAATTAAAACAATCTCCAATCTAAAAACATATACACATACAATTCAAATTATTGGGCCACCAATAATAATCCCACATATCTTGAATTAAAATCATAATCCAGAATTCGTTGTCCATATTTTCCTGTCCTTAATCATCAAGATTCGATTGCCACAGATTAGCCGAATGCTTGTTTGAACAACCATGTTTTCAGTCTCTTCCTGAACACCATTAGCGAAGAGGCTGATCGTACCTCTATAGGGAGGGTGTTCCAAAGCCGGGGGGCCACCACAGAGAAGGCCCTGTCTCTCGTTCCCGCCAGCCGCACTTCTGAAGCTGGAGGGATAGAGAGAAGGGACTCTCCAGAAGATCTTAGGGTCCTGGTGGGCTGATAGGCAGGCTGCATGTAATGATTAGAAGAAAAACTAATTAAAAACTATGGGGAAAGGGTAAGTTCCATTTGCTCCCATCCCTCCCTCCGATTTGCTGCCTTCTGGGGTCCGGCTGTGATGGTGGCCTTGTGGGTGATGCCCTCCTTGTTCTTCCTTGCTAGGTCAGATCTATTGGGCCAAGGATATCATCTTCTTGGTGAACGAGCACGACCTGATTGGCATGGAGGCCTGGCTGGAGGCTTATCACGACGTTAACGTCACAGGTGAGGAGGCCTCACTGGGGGGTTCACCTGAGGAAGCAGCTTTGGTCTGTAGTCTGGTCTGTAACGGCGCTCCATGCAGTCATGCCGGCCACATGACCTTGGAGGTGTCTACGGACAACGCCGGCTCTTCGGCTTAGAAATGGAGATGAGCACCACACCCCAGAGTCAGACATGACTGGACTTAATGTCAGGGGACTACCTTTACCTTTACTATAGGAAAGTAGGAAATTATAATAGTGTAAGGGGTAAATGGAGGGGGTAGAAAGATTGAATGGGGAAGTGATTGAGAAGAGGTGGGGGGAAGGGGGTGAATGGTAGGGTAGGGTATATATTATGACACATTATTTATTTATTTATTATTCAAACTTCTATGCCGCCACTCCCCTGTGGCTCGGAGCGGCTTACAAGAATGGCTAAAATCTAACACAATTTAAAAGCAATTTAAAACAGTTTAAAAACAGCAATATCAGAGATCAAAGGCCCGTCAAAACAGATATGTCTGACATGCCCTGTGGAAAGCGGGTAAGTCCCGCAAGGCACGGACTTTAGGTGGCAGAGTATTCCAGAGTGATGGTGCCACTGCTGTGAAGGCTCTGCGTCTGGTTGCTGTTAGGCACAAGGTCTTGACACTGGGAATTTCCACTAGATCTTGGTCCTCAGAGCGGAGGGATCTCTGGGGTTGGGAGGGGGTGAGGCAGTCCCTCAGGTACATGGGCCCCAGACCATGCCAGGCCTTAAAGGTGAGCACCATCACCTTGAAAGTGATCCGGGGCTCAATGGGTAACCAATGCAGCTGTAGTAAGATTGGGGTGATGTGGCATCTCATCAGAATTCCCGCAAGAAGCCGAGCAGCTGCATTTTGTACCAACTTGAGCTTCCGGATCACCAGCAAGGGAAGGCCAATGGAGAGGGCGTTACAGTAGTCCAGTCTTGAGATGACCGTGGCCTGGACAAAACACAAGTTGCAAATTGTTATCCAAACAGAACTATGTTAACATAAACCTGAATATGAACCACACAAAGAAATTACAAGTCTGAGTGCTACTTGGTTATCTCGTAGTCCTTGAGAAAGTAAACTGTCTTCAAAATGCAGTCCAAATAAAGTCCAAATTGCTGTCCAGTTCAAAATAGTAACCAAATTGTAATGCTTTTTTTACAAGGATCCCCGGGTTGAGGTTGCCTTGTTTCGGGGGACTTCCCCTTCTTCAGGATTTTGTCTTCTTTGTAAAAATGGGTGAACTGGTTAAAAAAAGCATTATAATTGTAGAACTATAGTAAGTAAATTAGTAAGTAAATAGTGCAACTATATTATTTTATTATTATTTATTTTATTTTATTTACAGCTTTTATATTCCGCCCTTCTCATCGCGCAGGGGACTCAGGGCGGATTACAGTGTACACCTATATAGCAAATATTCAATGCCAATTTTTGACATACAAACATATACAGACATACACAGAGGCTATTTAACTTTTTCTGGCCGCCAGGGGAGCTGTCGCTTTCCTCGTCCACCTGCGATGCTGAAGAAGCACTTCCGCATTCCCCGCATGCTTCCCCGCTGGAATGCTTTGCTGGAGTCTTCTTTATGGCCTCGTAAATCAGTTAATTTAGCATCCCCACACTTTTTAAGGTGGTACCTTATTTTCCTACTTGACAGATGCAACTGTCTTTCGGGTTGCAAAGGTCAACAACAGGCTACACACAATTGGTTGGAAACCCACTCCAACCCGGGCTGGCTTCGACTCATGACCTTTTGGTCAGAGTGATCTTAATGCAGCTGACACTCAGCCAGCTGAGCCACAATCTTACTACGAAGAAAAGTCTCCTATAGAAGAGAGAACATTGGTCTGTGTGTTTTTGTTCTTTTTATTTATTTGTTTGTTTGTTTATTTATTTACTGTATTGATATACCGCCTGTGAAGAGGTCGTTAAACTGCTGCCACCAATTGTAACGATGACCGTTTTAATGCCACCGAATGTGAAGGTGTGAGTGGTAAAACACCCACTGCCACCTAATCTATGAGGGAAGCCGGGCAACAATCAATATCAGCCTAGGAACTATTTTATATAGGGACTGTTTCTGGCTGACTTTAGTATTGCAGGCTGTTCAACTTAGGAGCAACTGTATCAGGCAAGGCTTGAGGAAAAAGTAATAAGTTTATTTTAACAGGAGTATAACAATGTATAACTGTTTCTTCAAAAGAGGCACAAATCTTGATGGATACATTGGAAAGGTTTCATGAGTAAATCCAGGCAAACACTTCATAAGGTTTCACAGCTGGCACAACAGGCTTAAACCCAGCCAAAGCTTGATTCTTAATTCAGAATCAACAACCCCCTGTACCGGGTCCTTCTCTGCAACCACTTTGGTCACCAATTGATTCCCTGAATCTCCACCAAGAGATTCAGTCTTTCCCTATAGCACACTGGCTACAGACACATTCCCTGAATCTCCACCAAAAGATTCAGTGTTCTCTCAGTAGCTCTCCGGCCACTGACTCATTCCCTGAATCTCCACCAAAAGATTCAGTGTTCTCTCAGTAGCTCTCCGGCCACAAAACATAATCTCCCATACTTACCATCCCTAAACCACTGTCCAAACTACACATAACCAAAGAAATAAAACTTACACATCGTCACACCGCCCCTCTCAGCCTGCAGGCTGGCTCCTGGTGCTGGATCACGCTGCCACTTATAAGTTAATCTGCTATATGTTTATGAGGAGGGTCTTTTGTTCATAACCCCACCCTCCCAACACTCCTCACTAGCACCGAGACCCTTTTGCCCGGCTGACCTTTCCCCCCTCGGGCTGCTTCCTCCGCAGAGCTGCACTCCTCGGGGATGCTGGGCCGGGCGGGGGCCATCCAGGCGGCCCTCTCCCTGGAGCTCAGCAGCGACGTCATCACCAGCTTCGACGTGGCCCTGGAGGGGCTGAACGGGCAGCTGCCCAACCTGGACCTGGTCAACCTCTTCTACTCCTTCTGCCAGAAGAACAACCTGCTCTGCACCATCCAAGGAAAGGTGGGTGCAAGGCAAGGAGTAAGGGAGGGGGCAGCAAGACCTGGCCAAGGGGCACATGGGCCTCTGAAGGGTATTGCACCCCAAGTCTCCAGTGGTGCTGTGAGACCTACAGAAGAAGCCCTGACCCTTTCCCCACCGCTTGCTCTGCCCATGAACTGACCACATATCCATCTGTACGAATATTTGGGATCCATAGCAGAGAGAGGGCAGTGTAGCCAGTGCTATATATGATGGGAAAACCGGAGAGAAAATAATATGCAGGAGACTCTGGTAAGGTTTGAAAAGACAACAGCTTACTTTAAGGCGAGGAAAGTGCTCTTCTCAGAACCTCACCAAGAGCCTTCTGGTCTAAAACCCCACAACCTAGGACATCCCAACTTAGATCATTATAACCTAAAACAAAAAAGATTCTTACGAGACAAAAACATGAACCATAGCAGGAAACTTGAATAGACAGGAAAACCATCCTTTAACAACATTGTTTCCTCTGAGAAGCTTGAAGCCAAACTACTCTAATTTAAACCCGTCCAGGCACTCATGATATCATGCCAAACACACCTGGACTCCAAGGTCTTTCCACGGATTCTGTGGTAATATCTCAATTGTCTGTTTTTGACACCCTTCGTTCCCAGGGCTAATCTAGTTTCCTGAGAAAACTCCCCATCTGCCCAAGGACTTCCACTTTCCCTGGTTGCCTGGGAACCAGTACTGGAATCCAAAGCAGGGACCTTGTCAGATTCATCTGCTTGCAGTTCTTTCCGATCTGATGCCTGCAGTTCTCGCCATTCACTCACAGACTCCTCATTTTGAAACGCATCATCCCTCTCATCCTCTGACAAATCCTCTGACGCTTGCTGTGCTACGACACTTGGAGCCACAAGAGTTGGACTTCAGTAGGCGTGGGCTTAAGCGGCTGAGGGGAAAAGGAAGGGTCCCAAGGCTGTTAGGAATGGTGGGAGTTGAAGTCCAAAACACCTGGAGGGAGAGCCCAAGTTTGCCCATGCCTAGTACAGAAGGGCCCTTTTAGGCTTGATGTCCATCTGTCAAGAGAGCTTTGTTTGGATAGTACTGAATGGCAGAAGGGATCCCATCAGGTCCGCTGGCTTTGTCTTTGTTTGACCCTGGGCATGTTTAGCCTGAAGAAGAGAAGGCTGAGAGGAGATATGATAGCCATGTATAAATATGTGAGAGGAAGCCACAGGGAGGAGGAGGGAGCCAGCTTGTTTTCTGCTTCCCTGGAGACGAGGACGCAATGGAACAATGGCTTCAAACGACAAGAGAGGAGATTCCATCTGAACATGAGGAAGAACTTCCTGACTGTGAGAGCCGTTCAGCAGTGGAACTCTCTGCCCCGGAGTGTGGTGGAGGCTCCTTCTTTGGAAGCTTTTAAACAAAGGCTGGTTGGCCATCTGTCAGGGGTGATTTGAATGCAATATTCCTGCTTCTTGGCAGAATGGGGTTGGACTGGATGGCCCATGAGGTCTCTTCCAACTCTTTGATTCTATGATTCTATGACCCATGCCTGGTTTAGTGAAATCTTTTCCCTTGCTCCATTGTGATTTTTAGTCTCGGGAGCAGGAAGGGTGCTGAGGTTGTTAGGAATGGTGGGAGTTGAAGTCCAAAATACCTGGAAGGAGGGCCCAAGTTTGCCCATGCCTGGACTTGAGGCTTCCCACTTGCAGAGCAGAGTTCAGGGAACTCTTTCCTTCCCTGGAGGGGCGCATGGGGCCCACTTTGACCCCTGCCTCACTCTAGGACCCTCTTCCTTGCCTCCCGTCCAGCTGCAGCGTTCGGACTGGGACTCCCTGCCGGCCTACTTGCACTCGCTGCAGACGCTGCTGCTGATGGTGCTGAAGCAGGGCTCGGGGCGGCCCCAGGGGGACCACGGCCTCTTCCTGCGCTACCACATCGAGGCCGTCACCGTGCGCGGCATCAACAGCTTCCGCCAGTACAAGTTCGACATGAGCACCATGGGCGCGTGAGTACACACACACACACACACACACAGAGCGACCTGGTCTCGGTTCATGAATGGAACTCGGGGTGGCTTCCTTGAGGCAGGCTCAGATTGGAAAGCAGCCATATGCTCTGAAAGGGATATACTAGGTGCTTTGGTAGGGCAGAAGGAGTCTGTCGGGAGGCTTTGGAGCCCCTACGATATTTCTCTTTCCCTTCAGGACCCTGGAGGGAATGTTCCGGAAGCTGAACAACCTGCTGGAGCGCCTCCACCAGTCGTATTTCTTCTACCTGCTGCCCTCTCTCTCCCGCTTTGTCTCCATCGGGGTCTACATGCCAGCCTTTGGCTTCCTCATCCTCATCCTGGTCCTCAAAATATCCTCTCTTATGTGTGGGGAGCTATAGATGGGACAGAACAGGGATTGGGGGTGATTACCTTTGTGTTCCTTTGGTATTGGAGTTGTGGTTATAGAGGGGTGGTCCCGGGGACCCTTGGGACCCTTTGCCTGAAGCAGCCAGATTCAGTGACTCTGCCATTCTTTCAAAAATCCCTTCTCCACACTCTCATCTATTTCCAGAAACTAAGCAAAGTCACAGGATCTTGAAGTTGGAAGAGACCACAAGGGCCATCTAGTCCAATCTAGTCATTTACAGAGAGAGAGAGAGAGAGAGAGAGAGAGCGGGCTTCACACAGACTGGAGAGCTGATTGGTGAAAACTTTATCTATCTATCTATATAAAAATGTTATGTGCATAATGAGTACCTTAAAAACAAAAGAACCAATGAACGAAATCACACCAAATTTGGCAACAAAACGTCTCACTACACAAGGAGTGACCATCACTCAAAAAATTATGATTTTGTCATTTGGGAGTAGTAGTTGCTGGGATTTATAGTTCACCTATAATCAAAGAGCATTCTGAACTCCACCAATGATGGAACTGGGCCAAACTTAGCACACAGGGCTCCCATGACCAACAGAAAACATTAGAAGGGTTTGGTGGGTATTGACCTTGAGTTTTGGAGTTGAGTCATAGAATCATAGAATCAAAGAGTTGGAAGAGACCTCATGGGCCATCCAGTCCAACCCCATTCTGCCAAGAAGCAGGAATATTGCATTCAAATCACCCCTGACAGATGGCCATCCAGCCTCTGTTTAAAAGCTTCCAAAGAAGGAGCCTCCACCACACTCCGGGGCAGAGAGGTCCACTGCTGAACGGCTCTCACAGTCAGGAAGTTCTTCCTATGTTCAGATGGAATCTCCTCTCTTGTAGTTTGAAGCCATTGTTCCGTCCTAGTCTCCAAGGAAGCAGAAAACAAGCTTGCTCCCTCCTCCCTGTGGCTTCCTCTCACATATTTATACATGGCTATCATATCTCCTCTTAGCCTTATCTTCTTCAGGCTAAACATGCCCAGTTCCTTAAGCCGCTCCTCATAGGGCTTGTTCTCCAGACCCTTGATCATTTTAGTCGCCCTCCATACATAAACATTAAAAACGCACTGTGGACTCAAACTATGATAGATCTGGACCAAACTTGGCACAAATACTCAATATGCCCAACTGTGAACACTGGTGGAGTTTGGGGGAAATAAACCTTGACATTTGGGAGTTGCCGTTGCTGGGATTTATAGTTCCCCTACAATCAAGGAGCGTTCTGAACCTCACCAACGACAGAATTGGGACAAACTTCCGACACAGAACCCTCATGACCAACAGAAAATACTGTGTTTTCTGGTGGTCTTTGGTGACCCTTCTGACACCCCCCTGGTGACCCCCCCCCCCAGGGTCTTGACCTCCCAGGTTGAGAAATGCTGCCTTGAGGCCATCCAGTCCAACTCCCTTCACCAGGGCAAGAAAACATAATCAAAGCCCCCCTGACAAGGGGCTCACCAGCCATTCACACACACACATATATGTATATGACAGATGCAGTATCCTATATTTGAAAGGGACCCCTAAAGAAGGACAATTATATGTCGCATGTTCCAGAGTGGGCAACCCAGACACTCTCCACATCAACACTGACAAAGAAACAGCAAGAAATACTGTTTACCCACAAGCAGAAAGACATTACATATATCAGAAACCAACACTTTTTCATTACTTTATTTTCCAGATCACCAGGCTGGGCGCTAGTGTGTGTGTGTGTGTGTGTGTATAAAGTTTTCACCAATCGGCTCTCCAGTCTGTGAAGATCTTTTGGACCCTGATCTTGTCCTCTGGGGTATTAACTCTCCCCCTCTATTTGGTGGATCTGCAATTGTAATCTGCACATCATCTATTCTGTCATCCAAGTTATGGATAAAGACATTGAATAGTACTGTGTTCCCTTCATAAGGCTGGGCTTCTTGTGGCTGGAGCCAAGCCTCAAGCGCCTGTTACATAACTCATGCAGCTGACCAGCAGCTGACCAGCATTGCAGAGATGCTCATAGCCAGCTTCATGGAGTCCCGTATCGATGGTCTCCAGTCAGAGTATTAACCTAGCTTGATTCCAGAAGATGAGGAAGATTGCGAAAGGTCTGAAAGGTTCTGTCCTGGACTCGGTCCTGTTCAGGATCTTTATTAATAACTTAGGTGAAGGGTTAGAAGGCTTGATCATCACATTTGCAGACAGGACCAAATTGGGAGGGAGAGCCAAGACTCCAGAGGACAGGAGCAGGACTCAAAGGGATCTTGACAGATTAGAGAGATGATTGCCCAAAACTTAACAAAATGAAGTTCAACAGGGACAAATGCAAGAGACTCCACTCAAAGGAACAAGGGTCTGGAGAACAAGCCCTATGAGGAGCGGCTTAAAGAGCTGGGCATGTTTAGCCTTCAGAACAGAAGGCTGAGAGGAGACATGATGAAGGCCATGTATAAATATATGAGAGGAAGTCATAGGGAGGAGGGAGCAAGCTTGCTTTCTTCTCCCCTGGAGGGAGACCAGGACGCAATGGAGCCATGGCTTCAAACTACAAGAAAGGAGATTCGATTTGAACATTAAGAACTTCCTGAGTGTAAGAGCTGTTCAGCAGTGGAACTCACTGCCTCAGAGTGTGGTGGAGACTCCTTCTTTGGAGGCTTAGAAACAGAGGCTGGATGGCCATCTGTTGGGAGTGCTTTGAATGCGATTTTCCTGCTTCTTGGCAGAATGGGTTGGACTGGATGTTGGCCCACCAGGTCTCTCCCAACTCTAGGATTCTAGGATTCACTGGCTGCCTCTCACTGGACCAATTGAAGCTACCAAACAGTCTTCAAGGGCCACCCCACGTAGGGTGCATTGCAGTAGTCTATCCTGAATGTACCAAGATATCCTGGATGTAACGAGAGCATGGACCACCGTGGCCAGGTCTGGCCTCCCAAGATACAGGCACAACTGGTGCACAAGTTTCTGCCAAGTAGGGAAAGCACAATTTTATCCCTCCCGACAGATGACCATCCAGCCTCTGCTTAAAAGTTTCATTGAATCTTTGAAGGTGGTTGTCCTGCTTCTTCGCAGAATGGGGTTGGACTGGATGGCCCACAAGGTCTCTTCCAATGCTAGGATTCTATGAAAGCCAAGCCCTGTGAGGAGTAGCTTATGCAGCCAGGTATGTCTATCCTGGAGGAGTCTGATCGTTGCTACTCTGGCCCTTTCCACACAGCTGAATTAAATCCCAAATTTTCTGCTTTGAACCCGGATATATGGCAGTGTGGACTCAGATATCCCAATACAAAGCAGATATGGTGGGATTTTCTGCCTTGATATTCTGGGTTATATGGCTATGTGGGAAAGCCCTCAGACAGCCTTAAATAGCTGGAGGGAGCCCATGCAGATGATGGAGCAGGCTTGGTGTTTGCTGCTGCTGCAGAGACTGGGACTCAAGCCAATAGATTCTAATTAATTTCAGGAGATTTCACTTAAATATTAGAAAAAGGGGCTTTTGCAGGAGAAATGGACTCTGGAGTCTTTTTCTGTGAAGGTTTTCAAGCAGAAGCTGGATGCCCATCTGTCAGGAAGGGTTTGATTGTGCCTTCCTGCCTGGCACTTGGGGTCCCTTCCAACTCTGAGATTATGTGGTGTGTCTTTCTGTGGCCTTGACCAGTGAAGAGGATCCTTGCTGTGCCTGCCTTCCTCTAAATCTGAGCCATTTTAGAAGAACACTTCCCCAAAAATGGGTTCTGAGGGCATCTTGGTAGCTGCAAAGGGAAGGCAGAGGAGGCTCTGGTGCCTGTCCCCTTGGCAATGGGTGCGTTCGGAGTGCCATGGCTTTGGGGCAGTGGTCAAGCAGCTGGAAGGCTGGTGGCTGCCTGGCTCTAGGTGGAGGACGGCCTTCTTGGATTTCCCTTGACTCCCGCCCCCAACGCCCTGGACCTGTGGATGAAGCTGAGCCAGTTCGACACGGAGGCAGACGGTCAGGCTTGTGATGGTGAGCAAAGCCCTCGTCAGGTCGCTACAGAGGTGAGTAGCAAGCAGGGTGGGGGGATCAATAATAATAATAATAATAATTGACAAATTTCTAATTGACAAAATGATACTGGAAAATTGCAAAAGCTGCAAAACAAACCTCTATATAAATTGGATTGATTACAAAAAAGTATTTGACTCACTGCCACATTGTTGGATTATCAAGTGTCTAGATGTCATCAGAGTTTGTGAAAATATTAGAAAGTTCACTGAAAATGAGATGAAACAATGGAAAACTGAGTTGTTTGTGGGCAATGAAAGCTATGGAACTGCTAACATCAAGAGAGGAATTTTCATCATTGCACTGATCCCACTGTCAGTAATTCTACAGAAAAACCTAGGCTACCAAACAAGAAATTCACCAAAAATTTCTCACTTGCTGTACATGGATGATCTAAAGCTTTACGGAAAAACAGAAACTGAAATCAAGTCACTGACCAACACAGTCGGAATCTTCAGCACTGACATCCATATGGAGTTTGGCCTAGACAAATGTGTCACAGTGGCATTAAAGAAAGGGGAAATGACCCACAGCGAGGACATAGAGATGCCAAACGGACAAACCATAAAGTGCAATCAGCCTGAAGCCTATAAATATCTGGGCATACTACAGTTGGACAATATCAAGCATGGGCAAGTGAAAAATGTGATCAGCAAAGAATATAAGAGTGGTTTTGAAGAGCAAATTAAATGGCGGAAATAGGATCAAGGCTCTCAACCGCTGGGCCATCCCTGTCATTAGAGACACGGCTGGGATTGTGAACTGAACACAAGCAGAGCTGGAGGACCTGCTCAGAAAAACAAGAAAACTGATGACAATCCACTCCTCGTGACACCCACGTAGTGATGTCAATAGACTTGACCTGCCCAGAAAATCAGGAGGCAGAGAGAAGAGGGCTTCTGCAAGGGAAACAAATGGCAGAAGAAGAAGAAGAAGAGAAACACGCCCTGGCAGATGATGGGAAAGGCAGTCAAGAACCAACATTGAGGGAAGTTAAGAGTAGTAAACTGCTGAAAGTGCAAAAGACAAAGAGGAAATATCATAATCCAGAGCAGAAGAGAAAACTGGCCAAAGAAGGCTCTCTCTCCAGGAACAGTTCCTGGCAAAAAATTGAGAGCCAAATTGACAAAGAGAAAACATGGCTGTGGCTCACAAATGGGACTCTGAAAAAGGAGACCAAGGAGGGCCTGATTCTGGCAGCCCAAGAACAAGCCATTCGAACTAAGGCCATCAAAGCCAGAATTGAAAAGTCGACAACAGATCCCAAGTGTAGACTCTGCAAGGAAGCAGATGGAACAATAGATCCCATCCTCAGCTGCTGCAAGAAGATCGCGCAGACAGACTCCAAGCAGAGGCACAACACCCTTGCTCAGATGATTCAATGGAACTCGTGCCACAAACACCATCTGCCTGCCACAAAGAACTGGTGGGATTACAAGCCGGAAAAAGTTACAGAGAATGAACATGTCAAGCTACTCTGGGACTTTATTATTATTATTATAACTTTATTTGTACCCCGCTAGCATCTCCCGAAGGATTCGATGCGGCTTACAACAGGCCGAAGCCCAACACAATACAACAATACAAAATCTAGCAAATAAAAACAGTTAAGCAAAAAACAGTAACAATAACAAGACATATTAAAAACTGAGTCGGCCGGAGTAGGGGCACAAGGTTAAAAGTGCTGATATATCGGAGGGGTGTGGGATTATGATATAAGTGCGGTGTGCAATGTGCGGTAATTTTGGTACTAAAGTGCTTCTGGGATTTGGTACTGGGAGATTCCTAATCTGAAAAGGCACATTGGAACAGCCAGGTTTTCAAATTCTTTCTGAAGACTGCCAGTATAGGGGCTTGTCTGAGATCTTTCGGGAGGGTGTTCCAGAGGCGGGGGGCCACCACGGAGAAGGCCCTGTCTCGCGTCCCCACCAAACGCGCTTGTGACGCGGGCGGGATCACGAGCAGGGCCTCTCCAGATGACCGGAGTGAGCGTGTGGGTTTGTAGACAGCGATGCGGTCACGCAGGTAGGGTGGTCCCAAACCGTTCAGGGCTTTGTAGGTAAGCACCTGCACCTTAAATTGGGCTCGGAAAATAAACGGCAGCCAGTGGAGCTCCTTAAACAGGAGGGTTGACCTCTCTCTGTAAGGGGCCCCAGTTAACATCCTGGCTGCTGACTTCCGGATTCAGACAGACAGAGTTCTGGAGCACAAGACTTCTGACCTCATGATCGTGGGAAAAAGTGTGGATTGTTGATGTTGTAATTCCAGGCGACAACAGAATGGACGAGAACCAACTGGAAAAGCTGACACGATGTGAGGATTTAAAGATTGAGCTGCAAAGACTCTGGCGCAAGCCAGTCAAGGGGGTCCCAGTGATGATCGGCACACTGGGTGCCGATCATCACTTACTGGGATCTGCATGCATTATTCGGCGATTCATCACACAGTCCTAGATACTTGGGAAGGAGCCGACGTGTGATCCAATACAACAACCAGCAGAGTGACTTTGTTTGCTGTGGACTAATCTTGTGTTTCTAATCATCATCATCATCATCATCATCATCTTGTGTTTCTAATAATAATAATGATAATAATGATGATGATGATGATGATAATAACAACAACAACAACAGGATTGCAATGGCCAAATTTAGCCCAAGCTTGTATTCTTAGCATGCCCAACATATATTTAATTATATAATAATGATGATGATGCAACGACCAGTGGAGTGATCTTGTTAGCTGTGGACTCATCTTGCTGTGTTTCTAATAATAATAATAATAATAATAATAATAATAATAATAATTTTCAAGGACTCGTTTCTTAGGATGGCATCTCTAGCCTCCATGTAGACCCCAGTCATAATCCTTTCCTGCAGTTTGATTCCAACCAGACATCCTATTTGGATGACCCCTTGCCTTTTCCTTCCTGCAGGAGCCCAAGCCCAGCCTTCTGACGCTGGTGCCTCCGCTGCTGATCTGCCAGGCCACAGGGCTCGCCCTCTACTTCGTGCCCATCCTGGGGCAGGAGATGGCCACCCAGCACTTCCCCGTCTCCGAGTCGGAGGCTGTGGTGCTCACCGCCATCGCCATCTATGTCGGGGGGCTGGCCTTGCCCCACAACACGCACCGGTGAGCAAGGGCAGGGGCACAGGGGTGCAAGAAGAGCGCATGCACGTGATGCTGTCTCTGCGGGAATATTTGGTCTCCATGCATTTTAATACAGGCACTCCCCAAGTTACGAACAAGGCAAGTGCTGTAAGTTTGGTCCTAAGTTGAATTTGTATGCAAGCCAGAACAGGAATATGTCTTAAATGTAACTCCAGCCAAATGTTTGTTTGTTTGTTTGTTTACAGTATTTATATTCCTCCCTTCTCACCCTGCAGGGGACTCAGGGCAGATTACAGTGTACATATACATGGCAAACATTCAATGTCATAGACACACAACATATATAGACAGACACACAGAGGCTATTTAACATCCCAGCTTCATGAGGGTATTCCAGCCACCGGGGGAGCTGTTGCTTCACTGTCCACTTCCTCATAGAATCAAAGAGTTGGAAGAGACCTCATGGGCCATCCAGTCCAACCCCATTCTGCCAAGAAGCAGGAATATTGCATTCAAATCACCCCTGACAGATGGCCATCCAGCCTCTGCTTCAAAGCTTCCAAAGAAGGAGCCTCCACCACACTCCGGGGCAGAGAGTTCCACTGCTGAACGGCTCTCACAGTCAGGAAGTTCTTCCTCATGTTCAGATGGAATCTCCTCTCTTGTAGTTTGAAGCCATTGTTCCGTGTCCTAGTCTCCAAGGAAGCAGAAAACAAGCTTGCTCCCTCCTCCCTGTGGCTTCCTCTCACATATTTATACATGGCTATCATATCTCCTCTCAGCCTTCTCTTCTTCAGGCTAAACATGCCCAGCTCCTTAAGCCGCTCCTCATAGGGCTTGTTCTCCAGACCCGTGATCATTTGAGTCGCCCTCCTCTGGACACATTCCAGCTTGTCAATATCTCTCTTGAATTGTGGTGCCCAGAATTGGACACAATATTCCAGGTGTGGTCTAACCAAAGCAGAATAGCGCATGGGGAGCATGACTTCCCTAGATCTAGACACTATGCTCCTATTGATGCGCACACTGCTGGAGATTTTTATGGCATCGTAAATTAGTTAAATTGGCCTCCCCGCATAAAGCAGTACCTAAATTTCCTACTTGACAGATGCAACTGTCTTTCAGGCTGCAAAGGTTGAAAGCAAGCTACACAAATTGGTCGGAAGCTTACTCCGATCCAGGCTGGATCCACAGTGCTCTCTGGATGTAGGTGAACTACAACTCCCAAACTCAAGGTCAATGCCCACCAAACCCTTCCAGTGTTGTCTGTTGGTCATGGGAGTTGTGTGTGCCAAGTTTGGTTCAATTCCATTGTTGACGGAGTTCAGAATGCTCTTTGATTGTAGGTGAACTATAAATCCCAGCAACTACAACTCTCAAATGACAAAATTATAATTTTTTGAGTGATGGTCACTCCTTGTGTTGTGAGATTTTTTTTTGCCAAATTTGGTGTGATTTCGTTCATTGGTTCTTTAGTTTTTAAGGCACTCATTATGCACAGAACATTTTTAGATAGATAGATAGATAGATAGACGACTACAGTGTATTCATTACTATAGACTAGCATATGATAGGGGACAGGAGAGGAAATAAAGAGTATCCCTTTTCCCAGGCCTGGCCCAACCTTGGCCCTCTCTCCAGGTTGTTTTGGACTTCAGCTCCCACAATTCCTAACCGCCTACTGTCTGTTAGGAATTGTGGGAGTTGAAGTCCAAAACAACCTGGAGGGAGGGCCAAAGTTGGCCCAGGCCTGATCTATCTGCTTCTCATTGGGGACTGCAGACTTGAGCGTTGAATCTGTCCCGAGTTGCCCTTCAAAAACAGCCTTTAGATAATGTTGAAAGTAAAAGAAAAATGCTTTACTTCAGCAAACACCAAGGATAAGCAAATGCAATTGAAAAGTGCAAAAGAAAACAAGGACATCTTAATCCAGACACAAATTAAAGTCTCTTACAAAGTCCCAAAAGAAACACCAGTCTTCCATCAGACAACGGAGGATGAACTAAGTTCTTAGCAGCAGACACAAAGCAGATTCCATTGGAGTGAAAACATCAGTATCAGTGTCGTTGTTACCAGCCAAAGCTGACTGCTCCTTATTTATAGCCCTGAATTTCCCACGCAGGAGGTGCTAGGGCGTCTCCCAATTAGCTCAGCGTTTTTAGCAGCTATCCTAACAGAACACCATCTGTGCTCTGTCTCTTGTCGTCTCTCTAGAAATGTGGGCACTATGAAACCCTCATTGTCTTCTTCTCCCTCCAATTCCTGAGCACTTCCCTGCACCCCTCCCTCCTCCTGATTTATAGCCCTGAATTCCCCACGCAGGAGATGCTAGGGCGTCTCCCAATTAGCTCAGCATTTTTAGCAGCTATCCTAGCTGAACGCCGTCTGTGCTCTGTCTCTTGTCATCTCTCTAGAAATGTGGGCACTTTCAAACATTCGTCTGATTCTTCTTCTCCCTCCAATTCCTGAGCACTTCCCTGTTCCCCTTCCTCCTGATTTATAGCCCTGAATTCCCCATGCAGGAGGTGCTAGGGTGTCTCCCAATTAGCTCAGCGTTTTTAGCAGCTATCCTAGCTGAACGCCTCTGTGTTCTGTCTCTTTTCGTCTCTCTAGAAATTTGGGCACTTTCAAACCCTCATCGTCTGATTCTTCTTCTCCCTCCAATTCCTGAGCACTTCCCTGCTCCCCTTCTTCCTCCGAAGATGAGGAATCCCTAACACACAGGAGGTGCTAGGGCGTCTCCCAATTAGCTCAGCGTTTTTAGCAGCTATTCTGGTTGAACGCTGTCTGTGCTCTGTTACTTTACGTCTCTCTAGAAATGTGGGCACTTTCAAACCCTCATCGTCTGATTCTTCTTCTCCCTCCAATTCCTGAGCATTTCCCTGCTCCCCTTCCTCTTCTGAAGATGAGGAATCCCTAACAGAATCCCACCCCCTCCCTCTGTTCCTTGCAGGGTCCTGATGGGCTCCGGAGGGGACCGCGGCTGGATGACGCTGAAGCTGGTGGCACTGCTCTACCTGGCCATGCAGCTGGGCTGCATCGCCCTCGTCAACTTCTCCCTGGGCTTCCTGCTGGCCATCACTTTGGTGCCGGTGGCCGCCATCGTCCAGCCCACGGGGCCCAAGTAAGTGCTTGGAGCAGGCATGGGGGGCGTGGAGGGGGCTGCAGCAAGCAAGTGGACCCAGAACATCAAGGAAGGGCTCTGTTTCCGGGTGCAAATACTCATCTGGGATTGCCCTTTTATAATGGACCAGTAGACAGAATTCCCTGGAGACCGAATTCTAAAAATACAAACCACCACATGGTGGAGAGGAAAAGCATCACAAGATGAGCCATCACATGTTATGCCCTGCCTTGAGCCATAAGGAGAAGTAGGAAATAATAATTATTATTCAGTTGTTGTGAGTTTTTCGGATTGTATGACCTTGTTTCAGTAGCATTCTCTCCCGACATTTCGCCTGCATCTGTGGCTAATGGCATCTTTAAAGGTCTGTCAGAATTGAGGCAAGGGGAATGCATATCTATCTGTGGAATAATATCCAGGGTGGGAGGAAGAACCCATGTCTGTTTACAGCAAGTGTGGAACTTCAGAACCATTCAGGGCTTTATAGGCTAAAGTCAGCACTTTGACTTGTGCTTTGGAGCAGCTTGGCAACCAGTGGAGCTAATTATGGGCCCAGCACGCAGAAGGGGGTTGGTCTGGATGGCCCTTGGGGTCCCTTCCAACTCCAGGATGCTATGCTCTCCGAGGGGGGATTTGTGTGTGGGCAAGCATCCCAAAAAACCTACAACAACCCAGTGATTCCAGCCATGAAAGCTTTCGATAATACATTAAGACTAAATGGTTATACAATAACCGATGTGATGATAACATCAATTATCTCTGTGGGGATACATCGGAGTTATGTATTGTCAAAGGCTTTCATGGCCGGACTCACTGGGTTGTTGTAGGTTTTTTGGGGCTATATGGCCATGTTCTAGAGGCATTCTCTCCTGACGTTTCGCCTGCATCTATGGCAAGCATCCTCAGAGGGAGTGAGGTCTGTTGGAAATAGGAAAAAGGGTTTATATATCTGTGGAATGACCAGGGTGGGACAAAGGACTCTTGTCTGCTGGAGCTAGGTGTGAATGTTTCAATTGACCACCTTGATTAGTATATAATGGCATGACAGTGCCTGGAGCAATCTTTTGTTGAGAGGTGATTAGATGTCCCTGGTTATTTCCTCTCTCTTGTTGTGCTGTTGTAATTTTAGAGTTTTTTAATACCCGTAGCCAGATTTTGTTCCTTTTCATGGTTTCCTCCTTTCTGTTGAAATTGTCCACGTGCTTCTTGTGGATTTCAATGGCTTCTCTGCGTAGCCTGACATGGTGGTTGTGAGAGTGGTCCAGCACTTCTGTGTTCTCACATAATATGCTGTGTCCAGGTTGGTCCATCAAGTGCTCTGCTATGGCTGACTTTTCTGGTTGAAGGAGTCTGACGTGCCTTTCATGTGTCTGGGCAAGCGGCTGCATTTGGTGGTCCCTCTGTAGACTTCTTGTCCACATCTGCATGGTATACGGGAGACTCCTGCAGAAGCGAGAGGACCCCTCTTGTCCTTTGCTGAACGGAGCATTGGTTGGATTTTCTTGGTGGGTCTGGAGATAGTTTGTATGTTGTGTTTTCTCATCAGCTTCCCTATGCGGTCAGTGGCTCCCTTGATCAGAGTTATGATTCTGTTGTAAATAGTAGAAATGTAAATAAAGACGAGAGTGCTCAGTTGGAGGAGAAACTTTTGCAGTCAGTTTATTTGACATGCACCAGTGCTTTGGTTGGATAATGAACATGACAATGGTTATGGGCCCAGCATGTGGAAGGGGGTTGGTCTGGATGGCCCTTGGGGTCCCAATTCCAAGATTCTGTGCATTCTTAAGGGGGGATTTGTGTGTGGGCAAGCATCCCAGCGGTGCTCCTCCTCTTCCTCTTCTTCCTCCCCTGCAGATACCTCTATGCAGTGCTGCTGGTGCTGGTGACCCCGGCCGCCACGTTGCTCTTCTGCCTCTTCCTCTACCAGGAGCTCATTGAGTACCCCATCTCGCTGCTGGAGGGCTGGCAGCGCTTCCTGCAGGCCATTGCCGAGGGGCTGCTGGACCACCACCTCTACGGCTCCGTGGTCTTCCCCTTCGTGGCCATCTTTGTCTATCCCTGCTGGCTGCTGCTCTGGAACGTCCTCTTCTGGAAGTAGCTCCCTCTCGGTGCTGCATTGGAGTCCGTGGCGGCTCCTGCAGAAACAGACTGCTGAGCTGCATCTCGGCTGGACCCTGCAGCTTTGCAGTGGGACGGGGCTTCCAGGCAATGGCAGCTGTTGGTGCTAAGAATAGCTCTGGGACGCAGCAGCAGCCAAAGAGAAGCCTGGGATTCCAAAGCATCAGAGGACAGAAGGTCTTGGCAAAGAGCAATGGCTGGCCTGTAGACACCCTCAAGGGAAAAAAGGGAAGGTGGGTCCCATGCGGGGAAAAGGTCCTTCCTTCTCTGGGTGTTTGCAGCTTGAGACTCCTCTGGAGGATGTCCAATGGGGACAGGGATGAGATATCGGTCTGCAGGCCACCCTTCTGAACCCAAGGGCTTGTGGGGAAAGGATTGGGGTGCATGGGGAAACGACCGGGGTGCTGTGTGTTTTCCAGGCTGCATAGCCATATTCTAGCACAGGCATTGGCAAACTTTGGCCCTCCAGGTGTTTTGGGCTCCAACTCACACTATTCCTAACAGCCTCAGGCCCTTTCCTTTCCCCTGTCAGCCACTTAAGCATACAATACTCCATACTTCACTAAGCCAGGCATGGCCCAAACAAATACAAAGCCAGCGGACCTGATAGGATCCCTTCTGCCATTCAGTACTATCCATCTGTCAAGACAGCTTTGATGGACATCTGGCCTAAAAGGGCCCTTCTGTACCAGGAATGGGCAAACTTGGGCCCTCCCTCCAGGTGTTTTGGACTCCAAATCCCATTATTCCAAGCAGCCTCAGGCCCTTTCCTTGTCCCCCTCAGCCGCTTAAGCACACAATGCTCCAGATTTCACTAAACCAGGCATGGGCCAAACAAAGACAAAGCCAGTGGACCTGACGGGATCCCTTCTGCCATTTAGTACTATCCATCTCTCGAGAGCTTTGACAGATGGACATCCAGCCTAAAAGGGCCCTTCTGTACCAGGAATGGGCCAACTTGGGCCTTCCCTCCAGGTGTTTTGGACTCCCAACTCCCACCATTCCTAACAGCTTCAGGCCCTTTCCTTGTCCCCCTCAGTTGCTTAAGCACACAATGCTCCAGACTTCACTAAACCAGGCATGAGCCAAACAAATACAAAGCCAGCGGACCTGATGGGATCCCTTCTGCCATTCAGTACTATCCATATGTCAAGAGAGCTTTGACAGATGGACATCCAGCCTAAAAGGGCCCTTCTGTACCAGGAATGGGCAAACTTGGGCCCTCCCTCCCGGTGTTTTGGACTCCAACTCCCACCATTCCTAACAGCCCTTTCCTTTCCCCCCTCAGCCACTTAAGCACACAATGCTCTAGTGATTCTGGCCGCGAAGGCTGAGATAAAGGAATGTGAGAGCCATGTTTAAATATTTGGAAAGAGGTCTCGTTGTGGAGGAGAAAAGGGCCAAGCTCGTTTTCTGCTGCTCCCAAGACTCAAAAAGCACAATTGAGCAATGGAGCAGGGGAAAAGATTACCCCTGCTCCATTGCTCAATTGTGCTTTTTGAGTCTTGGGAGCAGCAGAAAACGAACTTGGCCCTTTTCTCCTCCATGAGAGCTCTTTCCAAATATGTAAATATGTAAAAAGATTTCCCCTGCTCCAGGCATGGGCCAAACAAAGACAAAGCCAGTGGGCCTGATGGGATCCCTTCTGCTATTTAGTACTATCCATCTCTCGAGAGCTTTGACAGATGGACATCCAGCCTAAAAGGGCCCTTCTGTACCAGAAATGGGCAAACTTGGGCCCTCCCTCCAGGTGTTTTGGACTCCAACTACCATTCCTAACAGCCTCAGGCCCCTTCCTTTTCCCCCTCAGCCGCTTAAGCAGCTGAGAGGGAAAAGGAAGGGGCCTGAAGCTGTTAGGAATGGTGGGAGTTGGAGTCCAAAACACTGGAGGGCTGAAGTTTGGCCTTGCCTGTTCTAGCAGCATTTTCTCCTGATGTTTCGACTACATTTGCAGGTGAAACATCAGGAGAAAATGCTGCTAGAGCATGGCCAATACAGCTCAGAAAACACACAATACTCGAATGCCCCTGACCGCTAAAGCCTTTGATAATACAAGCGCAAAGGATTGTGTACAATTTCTTCAGAAATAAAGACATTTTTTGGTGTGAGGTTTGGATATATATTTCACATTTTGGCCTCTTGTCACCTAACTAAACTTATTATTGTTTGTACCCTGCTTTTTCTCTCTTAAAAAAAAAGAAGAAGAGACTCAGTGTGCCTTACACTAGAACCATTCTATATCATTATATATTATTAGTGGTAATTATACTTAATATATTAATATTACTATATTACAATAGTATTATATTGTATTATTAATAGAAAAGGTATTAATGGTAAAAACCCACTTACATCCCTATACCAAAAAAAAGGAAACACTAAAGAATGCTTGAACTTCCGCACAGTGGCCCTTATTTCTCATCATGCCAGGAAGGGAATGCTCAAGATCCCGCAAGGAAGAAGACTCCAGCCAGACAGGGAGAGAGAGTGGCCAGGTGGACAAGCTGGGTTTAGGAAAGGCAGAGGAACCAGAGACCAGATTGCCAATATCCAGATGCTGGAGAATGGAGGAAGGCAGCGAGTTTCAGAAAAACATCTCTTTCTGCTTCATTGACTCTTCTAAAGTCTTTTGAGTGTGAGGATCATCATAAATTGTGGCAAGTTCTTGGCGGTCTGTATGGGGAGACCAAGCCCCCTTCCCTCTCTCCTGAGGAATCTGTACAAGGACCAAGTCGCAACAGTCAAAACTGACCACGGAACAACAGACGGGTTCAAGATTAGGAAAGGTGTGCGGCAGGGTTGTCTACTCTCACCCAACCTTTTTAACTTGTATGCAGAACACATCAGCCAGAGGGGGTTTGGCAGAGTGGGTGAAGGTGATGGTTAATGCCTCCTTACAGGAAGGAAAATTTCCAGCGAGCTTAAAACAAGCTATTATAAAACCGCTGTTGAAGAAACCATCACTGGATCCCACTCAATTCGACAACTATCGGCCTGTTTCCAATCTCCCCTATTTGGGCAAAGGTCATGGAACGTGTGGTGGCAACACAACTCCAGGGGTTTCTGGTAGACACTGATTATCTAGACCGGCACAGTCTGGCTTTAGACCGGGACATGGAACTGAGACAGCCTTGGTCGCCTTGGTAGATGATCTACGCAGGGAGCTAGACAGGGGGAGTGTGTCCCTGTTAGTTCTGCTGGACCTCTCAGCGGCCTTCGATACCGTCGATCACGGTATCCTTCTGGGCCGCCTCATGGATATGGGGCTCAGAGGCACTGCTTTGCGGTGGCTTCGATCCTTCCTTGAGGGACGGACCCAGAAGGTGTTATTGGGTGACACCTGTTCGGCCCCACACCGTTGTTGTGTGGAGTCCCACAGGGTTCAATCTTGTCCCCGATGTTATTTAACATCTACATGAAGCCGCTGGGAGAGATCATTCGGAGTTTCGGACTAAGATGCTATCTCTATGCAGATGACGTCCAAATCTGTCACTCCTTCTCACCTGTCACCAAGGAGGCTGTCCAGACCTTGAACCGGTGTTTAGCTGCTGTATCGGACTGGATGAGAGCTAACAAATTGAAATTGAATCCAGACAAGACAGAGGTCCTACTGGTCAGTCGTAAGGCCGAACAGGGTATAGGGTTACAGCCTGTGTTAGACGGGGTTACACTCCCCCTGAAGACGCAGGTTCGCAGCTTGGGAGTGATCCTGGACTCATCGCTGAGCCTGGAACCCCAGGTCTCAGCGGTGGCCGGGAGAGCTTTCGCACAATTAAAACTTGTGCGCCAGCTGCGCCCGTACCTTGGGGAGTCGGATCTGGCCACGGTGGTCCACGCTCTTGTCACATCCCGGTTGGATTACTGCAACGCACTCTACGTGGGGTTGCCTTTGAAGACTGCTCAGAAACTTCAACTAGTCCAGCGAGAAGCAGCCAGATTGCTCACCGGAGCGGCGTACAGGGAGCACACCACCCCCCTGTTGCGCCAGCTCCACTGGCTGCCGATCCAATTCCGAGCACAATTCAAAGTGCTGGTTTTGACCTACAAAACCCTATACGGTTCCGGCCCAGTGTATTTGTCCGAACGGATCTCCCTCTACATCCCACCTCGAAGTTTAAGATCTTCTGGGGAGGCCCTGCTCTCGACCCCGCCAGTGGCACAAGTGAGACTGGCGGGGACGAGGAGCAGGGCCTTCTCAGTGGTGGCCCCCCACCTGTGGAACTCACTCCCCGGGGAGATCAGATCGACGACTTCCCTTCTAGCATTTAGGAAAAAACTAAAGACCTGGATGTGGGACCAAGCTTTTGGCCATGCTGACAACTGATCAAAGGACCTATCGATAGACAAGGACAATGGAATGGAATGGATATATGGACTCTGATATATGGACTCTGACATGAGATAGTTTTTATGATTTTAATAGGTATTGATGTTTCATTTTAATTGTTGAACTGTTATATTTTGTATTGTTTGTTGTGTGATTTGGGCATCTAATTGTGCCTCCTTTGTAAGCCGCCCTGAGTCCCCCCCGGGGTGAGAAGGGCGGGGTATAAGTAGATGAAATAATAATAAATAATAATAAATCATGCGATGTGAGGGGCTTGATGAATGCAAGGCTGGGGTTAAAATTGCTGGAAGAAATATTAACCACCTTAGATATGCAGATGACACCACTCTGATGGCCGAAATTTATTTATTTATTTCACGCATTTCTA